AACCATCAAAGAGATGCTAGCATTGCTCCTTGTGTTGAAGAGATCCGCCTTTGGGGGAGGAATTCCCAAATCCTTGCTTGAAGATGAAACCCTAGCTTCTCCTCTTCTTTGGTTCGTCACTTTCTCACTCTAGAATTCTAAAGAAGAAGAAGTTTCTCACACTAGGTTTCTCCCTTTTCTCCTTTGGCTCAACCTCCTTTATATACCTAGATCGGGCTTAGTTCACAGTCTTAGTTCACGACCTTGAACTGAAAGCCTAGACCATGAACCAAAGTCGAAACGCACCACATCACTAATCCCAGTTCACGGGAAATGGCCTGAGTTCACGGTCTTCCGACCGTGAACTGACTCGTGTCTAGTGAAAACCATTTGTGCTCTGGATGCCTGGCTGTTCGCGAGAATCCCCTCCAGTTCATGGTCTAAGTGACCATGAACTCACAGCCCAAACCATGATCTGCTGCTGTTTCCACCGTTTGACTTGATTTTTCACCCTTCGTCCAACTTTCAACTCCGGGGATGGTTCTACCGGCCATAGTCTGAAAAACACCAAAACAAGGCGTAAAACCAAACCCCCCGGAGTAAAAATGCTTCAAACGACTAAGCAAACTAGGGGGTAAAAAGTGTACACATGAGCCCGAATTACTCCCCCACACTTAGACGTTTGCTAGTCCCCAAGCAAACCATTTTCAACCTAGGTGATATCTCAACCTAACAAGATAACTTGGGGACAAATCAAAAGGCGTCAAGTGGTGAATCTCAGTAACTATTTGGGCATCGACATATGAACTGCCTCCACAAACGAAATTCGATTGCATCAAGAATAGGCAAATGAAAAGTTCTAACCCTGTTCACAAATCAATGCAAGTATCGACCGGACTACTCACCAACCAAAACTAACCATGCATAGAACTCAAGTCCAAGGAACCGACAACGGGGCAACATAGGTCCTCAACAGGGTAAGATAAGAACATGCAAAACAGGAATGAATCACTCACTCTCAACTAGTGGGATCAAGAACTTTTTGGTGCAAAAGATGTGCACCATCATCAACATTCAGCCCTATCATCTCTCCACCACGGCTGCAACCTCTAAATGTTAGAGTTCACGGGACAGTTGTCAACACTAGCTTGTCCGGAGGTCTTAGACACGGGTTCAAATGACTGGAAATTGTCTGAGACATGGGAAAAAGGCTTTTTTGGGTGGTGGAAAACATGACATGAGGTCCTACATCTTGAACCTAAAACCCAAGGTTCTATGGTCTCGACTAAGAACCTTTCCTAGAACAAAGGCCACTAGCATCAGCCAAAAATCACACTTCCCTTCTTCCAAACCACTACCAATCATGAACCACATTCAAGCACACATCTTCGGCCTATCTTGTTATTCACATTTCAAACCTAGTAGTGAAGGAGGTTGACACGCTAAAACACAACACCAAACTGCGACCAAGTGTAATCGTAGTCCGGAAATGCAGTAAAGTGGCAAGCTCTATTTGTCAACCCGGGGTCTAGATCTACTGCCTACTCCGTGATTATATATTATCTAGCAAACTAACTCGAGTGATTGTGATTTTAAGTAAAAGCAGTAAGAAAGCAGGAAATGGTTCGAAGTTCTTTAGCAAGGGAAGAGTCACTCGGGAATGAGTCCCCCTAGATCCTTAGTTAGGTCAAGGTTGTAATTACCCTTGGTTGATTTACTGTTGATTAAACTGCTGAAGATCGAATAGTAGCTTGGAATCTCTTAAGCTGACCAAGCCCTCTCAGGTAGACTAACCGGCAGGCGACTAGCCTTCACTGGGATAGACTGCTGAGGCAATAAACATAGAACTCCACTACTGGAATTGGATACCAGTACAAAGCAGTAAATCGATATAAACATAGAACTCCACTACTGGAATTGGATGCCAGTACAAAGCAGTAAATCGATTAACTCTCGTATAACCAATCTACCACTACCGATCGATAAAGCTCTAACAACCTAATCAGATTCTTTTTATCTCAAGTTGCAGCAGAAATCAAGAAAAAGATGATCAGGCTTCAATTGACTCAATGAATCATGCATCAAGCGATTAAAATCAATCAGTATATCAATCCCAAGTCATTACAATCAAGATTCCCATGGAACTAGGGTTCTTCATACCCCAAGTGAGAGAAGGTTCTACTCCATAGAGAGAGAGGAAAACAGAAATAAGAGTAGTCATACTCGTAAAGATGAGGATAATCTGCTTTGGGATGTCGATCTTCACTCCTGAGGATGCAATCTGGGCTTCAATGGTGAGAAATCCATTCCAAATAGCTCCTAGGGTTTATTCTTCGCACTTTCTCTCTCTAAAGCTCTGTTTTTTCTATGGAAAATCGATTCTCTCTCCTTAAACTCGAAATTGGGTTAAAACCCAGAATTTCCCGACCACACGGCCGTGTGTCTTCCCAGTCTGCCCGTGTGAGTGCCATAACGCGGCGTTCCATCTAATGAGCTTCATGCATGCTGCACAGCGATAAGTGCACAGCCGTGTGGATTCTTAGCCTGACCGTGTGAGCTCCCTGGAATTTCCACACGGCCACAAGGGACCCAATACACGGCCAGTATGGCCTTGCCCGCGTAATGGGATTCCACACGGCCACGCCACACGGCCATGTGGCTGCTAGGTCTGGTCGTGTGGATTCCTCAGCTTCTCGCCAAACGTCCAACTTTCGTCCAATCAACCCTGAACTCGTTCCTAAACCTCCAATCACGTACTAGGACCTGAAATAACACAAACGAGAACAACCTAGCGTGAAATTGGCCTAAGTTACGAGAAATGAGGCTCAAACGACATACGAATAGTGGATATAAACATGTGTATATATCAAGTCATCAAATTCCCCCACACTTAACCGTTTGCTCGTCCCCAAGCAAACCAAGTCAGATACAAGGTAAGCTCAATACATTTCAATCATACCAACTTTGGGGACAAATCATATAGGCATAGAACAAATAAATCATACTGGTTTTTTATCATTGACATATGGACAACTCAACAGCAACCTAGACAACCACCACAGAGGACATTCGAGTGCAAAATCGGGTAAAGGAAGAGGAGCACTTTCTCCTTAAACTCGAAATTGGGTTAAAACCCAGAATTTCCCGACCACACGGCCGTGTGTCTTCCCAGTCTGCCCGTGTGAGTGGCAAAACGCTGCGTTCCATCTAATGAGCTTCATGCACACTGCGCAGCCAGAAGTGCACGGCCGTGTGGATTCTTAGCCTGACTGTGTGAGCTCCCTGGAATTTCCACACGGCTACAAGGGACCCAATACACGGCCAGTGTGGCCTTGGCCGCGTAATGGGATTCCACACGGCCACGCCACACGGCCATGTGGCTGCTAGGTCTGTCCGTGTGGATTCCTCAGCTTCTCGCCAAACGTCCAACTTTCGTCCAATCAACCCCGAACTCGTTCCCAAACCTCCAATTTGATGCGAAAAAATGTGCATGCTTATTCTCTCAAATCCTAACGTCTCTTCACCATGATGGCAGCCTCTAAGTGTTAGAGTTCACACAAGGGATGTCACCACTAACTAATCCGGAGGTCTTAGACACAGGTTCAAGCGACTGGTTAGGGTCTTGGACATGGGAAAAAAACCTTTTAGGTGGTGGAAGTATTCATAGCAAAAGGTTCCACAGTTCCAAACCCAACACATTCACAGCCACTCAAACCAGTAACTTTCTTTCTGCCATTATGCATTACTCAAATTCTCTAGAGCACAAGAGCGAAGGAGCTCACAATAATGTTAGTATTTCCAAGCCAGACTGCTAAGAAACACTACTTAATGAGCATGATTCAGATTTTTTTTGGTAGTGGCTCTCTTTTGCTTTCATTCGTTTTTTTTTTCATTTCTTGAGAGAACCACCACCTCTGCACATTTGTCAATCACAGACCCAACTTTTAAGCACTACCTCCAACCCTCACATCATATTTAGCAGAAATAGCAGAGAACATGCAAAAACCACTCTGTGAAACCTTCTAAGAGATGCAAAAGGGTGATTTTCCATTGTAGACCGAAAGAAAGAAAAGTACATGGCTCAAAGGGGCTGACTAGGGGGTATGACACACCAGGACAGTCAATTTGGTCGTGGGCTATACCTATGCCTCCGTCATCTCAGCTAGTGACAACGTGAATGCTATACATCATGGAAGAGGGATCTATCGCACAAGAAAGAAACGAGCAGGCACAAATCTCACATGGCTACCTATATGCTCTATCTCACATTCTGATTCCCTGAACTAGATGCATAAATGACTGTCAAGAGCAAGTGATCAATCCAAGTCACAATTGGAAAGCAAACCGTTGAAAAACTGAACCCCTACACAACTCTACTGCACGTCTCAGTCATCATCATAGGTTGTCCTAGTTACAATCAAGTTGTCATGCATTTATTCGAAAGCCATTCGATTCACCAATCATATCCACAGTGCCAGTATGATCATGCAAACATCAGTACTTGGAGCCCTCAAATCTTGAGATTTAGACAGCGGACTAGGCTCCAAGCACACATATAAAGATTCCAACCAACAAAGCACCTCCCCCCCCCCCCACACACACTTACGTTCGACATTGCACTCAATGGAGCAGATGGAAAGATAAGGGGAATGATGTTACCGGAAAGAAAGACTGCCGGGGGAATGGAAGTGGACCAGTCAGCGGGGCTAGCATCAACAAAACACACTGGTGATAGAAACCATAGCATCACCACCATCGTGTACCCGTCGCCGTACACGTGTACCTGATCGATCGTCACGTTCCCCCAGCTGAATCCAACGGCTGATGGAGGTTGTTGGCCTCCCCCATCCGCCGCATTGAATCTCGGCCGCACGACCACCGGCTGCGGGTCCAACCCGTCACTTAACCGGACAGCCATCACGAGGTTCTCTTTCGGACCGTTGGATACGTTGAGGAAAATATGATCCGACCATTCTCGGCCACGTGCCTCTCTCGCTTCGACCGACCGCCACGTGTCGGTTTCAGAGGAGTAGAGGAAGAGGACCGGGCGGGAGTCGACGAGCTCCCCGAACATGAACCGGAATTTGTTCCGGTCTGACCGAGAGACGACCAATTATATGCCGGACCGGCGCCACGACGAGGTGCCACGTGGGCCGAGCGGGCTGGGCGGGATCGTCCTCGCCGTCCAGGCGGCGAGGTCGACGACGATTACTTCCTTCCGTGAATTGGAGGCGAAGAGGAAGAAGTTCCCGGCGGCGGTGAGGAAGTAGAGGCTCTCCCCGCCGCCGGGTCGGATCGGGTCGCGGATCTCGACCCGGAACCAGGAGGAGGACCCGGAAGTGAAGCCCTGGAGGACGGCGTCGCGGTGCCAGCTGCGCTTCTTGTAGAGGAAGAACCACGTGGCGGAGGAGGAGAGGGCATTGAATTCGCGGAGGAAGGCCGGGTCGGAGGCAATCCGGGAGACGGATCGATTTAGGGATTTGACCCGGACGAGTTCGGGGAGGGCGAGGGAGAGGAGGATTTTCTTTACCGTCTTTTAGCTGGATGCTTAAAGAGGTGAAGGAACAGGTGCCTCCAGAAGCGGATCCACATCGCTCTTGAGGTACAACTTCAGATGGTGGTCATGCACACAACGGGTGTGACCACCAGCACTCGTCAACTCGACCTGGCCATCCGGCAGGATGCAAGCGAGTGAATACTCGGATGGCCAAGGCGGTAGAGTCTCAGGAGGTGAGACTAGCTCATAGTGGTCTTCGGCTTTCTTGTGAGCAGGCTTAGCTACCTGCAATTTCGACCGCCACTCCTCCTTGATCTTTTCTTTTGGTAACGGAGTCGACGGGAGCGGCGGCGAAGATATGGGAGGGGGATCCTGCAAAATGGGAAGCACAGAAGGATACACGACAGACTCGTGCTCTTAGTGAGAGACAACATGCAAAAGGCGATGAAGCAAGGAGAGTATTAGCAATGCAAAATGTTATTCACTCCTCGCCATCCCTCAAGACTAAGGTCCCATCATGTACATATATGAGAGCCTTGGTGGTGGCCAGGAAAGGCCTTCCCAGTATAAGGGGCACTTCAGGAACTTCGCATACTTAGGCATTTGAGATAGTGCCTCCAGGATGGGCACTTGGACATTCAGCTTCCTAAGGATGGACATGAAGTTCCCGAACTCTGCCTCTAGCTTGTCTTTGTGCAACCGAGTAGGGAAGGGGAGTTGAGGGACATACCCCTTCACTACTGGTTGAGGCTTAGGAGCAAGTACCTCAACCTCCTTCTCCGCTTCTTCTTCAATAGCTGGAAATGTCGAGGCATGTCTCCCTCCCGCTTGTCTCGCCAAGACAGGTGGGTCTGCAATCACTTTGCCGATCCTTGTAGTGATAGCATTAGAGTGGGCATTCGGGTCCTTCGGATTAGGAATAGTATGACCCGGCATGGTACCCGGAGCCCTCTGCGCCACTACTTGAGCCACACTCCCCAGTTGGGTTTGGATATCCTGCAAGACAGCCTGTGTGTTCCTCTGGCCAGCTTCAAGAGCCATGAATTTACCCGAGGCCTTTTCCATGAACTGCTCGATAGTGTTGAATTTATCAGCACTGGAACAAGCAAGAGAACCCACCAAGTCCCGCAGTTCAGTTATCGGATCATTCTGCATTGGGGTTGCAGGGGCTGCACCTGGCTGCTTGAAGGCTCGCGGCTGTGGTTGAGCAGCATGCCCCTGCATGGGCTGGTAGAGAGACTGCTGTTGTTGCTGGAATTGCCCCTACCTTGGCTGATAGGGCGGTCTCTGGAAGCCTGGCGGTCCGTGGGAGACTGGTGGTCTAGGATTGGCCCCAACCCAGGAGAAGTTGGGATGCTGGCGCCACCCCTCATTGTAAGTGTTATTGTAGGGGTCATTGCGCCTAGCATTGTTGATTAAGTTCACCTGCTCCTGGGGTGTAGCCGACTCCCTCATCGCCTGTCAGTCTTCCACATTGTGATGGGTGCTCTCGCACCACTAGCAATGCATTGCCTGCTGCTGTCCAGTACCTGAAATCATTCCACAGCGATCGATGGCTCAAACCAGTTTCGATACCACCTGCACCAAATCAGACAACTGGGTAGCTACAGCATGCACACCCCGCACTGGTGCTCGTCTTGATCACCTAGCAGTTCCCCAATCATAGCCTTGCTCTGCCATCTCTTCAAAACGTTGATTTAGCTGTGGCAGTGTCTTAGTGAGCATATTCTCGTCGCAAACTGACTCAATCAGCTACTTGTCTTCCGGGAAGAGGGCATGGTAGAAGGTTCCCACCTTGAAGGTGTCGGTAAAACCATGGTTGGGACACTTGAGGAAAATATTGGGGCATCTCTCCCAAGCATCCGGAATGGTCTCATCTTCATCCTGAGCAAAGTGGGTGATTAGCTTCTGCAGGTCCGCCGTCTTGGACGGAGGATGGTGGCGGGTGAGGAACTTGTCCGCCAGGTTGGCGAACATGGTGATCGAGCCTGGAGTTCGATTGTCCAGCCACTCCTTGGCTTGCACCTCCAAAATAAATGGGAAGTACCTCAGCTGGTTTGCATCGGCTGGAACCCCATTGATCTTGCATCGGATACAACATGCACACCCCCCCTGGTGCTCGTCTTGATCCCCTCGTAGTTCCCCGATCATAGCCCTACTCTGCCATCTCTTCAAAAAGTTGATTCAGCTGTGGCAGTGTCTTGGTGAGCATATTCTCGCCGCAAACTGAGTCAATCAGCTGCTTGTCTTCTGGGTAGAGGGCATGGTAGAAGGTGCCCACCTTGAAGGTGTCGGTAAAACCATGGTTGGGACTCTTGAGGAAAAGATTGGGGTATCTCTCCCAAGCATCCCGAATGGTCTCATCTTCATCCCGAGCAAAGTGGGTGATTAGCTTCTGCAGGTCCGCCGTCTTGGACGGAGGATGGTGGCGGGTGAGGAACTTGTCCGCCAGGTTGGCGAACATGGTGATCGAGCCTGGAGTTCGATTGTCCAGCCACTCCTTGGCTTGCCCCTCCAAAGTAAATGGGAAGTACCTCAACTGGTTTGCATCGGCTGGAACCCCATTGATCTTGCATCGGCTATAGCATGCACACCCCGCCCTGGTGCTCGTCTTGATCGCCTCGCAGTTCCCCAATCATAGCCCTGCTCTGCCATCTCTTCAAAAAGTTGATTCAGCTGTGGCAGTGTCTTGGTGAGCATATTCTCGCCGCAAACTGAGTCAATCAGCTGCTTGTCTTCCGGGAAGAGGGCATGGTAGAAGGTGCCCACCTTGAAGGTGTCGGTAAAACCATGGTTGGGACACTTGAGGAAAAGATTGGGGTATCTCTCTCAAGCATCCCAAATGGTCTCATCTTCATCATGAGGAAAGTTGTTGATTAGCTTCTGCAGGTCCACTGTCTTGGATGGAGGATGGTGGCGGGTGAGGAACTTGTCCGCCAAGTTGGGGAACGTGGTGATCGAGCGTGGAGTTCAATTGTCCAGCCACTCCTTGGCTTGCCCCTCCAAAGTAAATGGGAAGTACCTCAGCTGGTTTGCATAGGCTGGAACCCCATTGATCTTGCATCGGCTACAGCATGCACACCCCGCCCTGGTGCTCGTCTTGATTGCCTCGTAGTTCCCCAATCATAGCCCTGCTCTGCCATCTCTTCAAAAAGTTGATTCAGCTGTGGCAGTGTCTTGGTGAACATATTCTCGCCGCAAACTGAGTCAATCAACTGTTTGTCTTCCGGGAAGAGGGCATGGTAGAAGGTGCCCACCTTGAAGGTGTCGGTAAAACCATGGTTGGGTGACTCACTCCTACTGTCACTCTAGAAAATGGCCAAGTGTAACCATTTCCTAAAGCGTAGTATAGCGGGTTTGGGTTTTAATGTCAACTCGGGTCCTAGATGTGATGACTACTCAGTGAATTCTTATTATCTAGCGGTGAAACTTTAGTGCAAGTCCAAATTAACAAACAAACAAAGCAAGTGAAACGGTTGTTTTCAAGTCGAGAGAGGTCACCCGGATATGGTTCCCCCTAGACTGCAGTTAAGCCGGATTGCAATTTACCAAGTTCAGTTTCTATAATAGTTATACTGCGGGAGGTTCTTAAACAGTCTGAAGTCTCAACTAAAGGTCTTCAGACCCTCTCAATCTGAATCCCCAGCGGGCGACTAACCTCCACCGGGGTAAACAGATTGCGGCCCTAACGAACCAAACATCCACTACCGAAGTAAATTTGGTACAGAATAGTGAATTGGCTCCTCGACTAAAGTCGCCAATTCACTACATTCAATTAAGGGTGCTCTATTAACCTAGGCAGATAAGCTCTTTCTAGGCTAAAGCATAAATAACAGGAATTTGATCAGGATTTAAGTCATTCAATCATTCAAGCCTCAATTGAACATAATCAAATCATAAAATCTGTACTTGGGTTCATACAATCAGACCTAACATACAAATCTAGGGTTCTCCCTACCCAGATGAAAGGGAAAACTACTCCATAGAGAGAGAAGCAAAAGCAGATTCAAATGCGGAAATCATACTGTGAAGGATGAGTTTCAGCTCCTGGTCGTCAATCGGCACTTCTCCAAGCTCAAGCCGGGCTTCAATGGTGATGAAGATCAAGCTAGGGCACTTGCGAACTCTGGTTCGTCGCTTTCTCTCTCTAGGAATCGCTTTGTCTCTCTAAAACTCGGAACCCCTTCTCCTTTGGCTCAAATCTGCCTAAAAAGGCCGACCCTGGGCAAAACACGGTCGAGGGCACGATCGTGCTTTGAGTCAGTCCCGCCCGTGTTTTGGGCCAGCGCAGGACAACCTTGGATCAAGCCTCGGTAGTAAAAACATGGTCTGGGAACACGGCCGTGCTTTGATTTAGGCGAGCCCGTGCTTTGCTTTTCCATCAGTTCAGCTCTCGGCAATACAAACATTGGCGTGCCTGTTTGTGTACAAAGCCGTGTTTTGGTTTAGGCCAGCCCGTTCTTTGGCCCCAGCTCGACCGAATGACTTCCAAATGCCCGAAACTCGTGCTTAGCCTTTCCTTTGACGTCTGGGACCTGAAATGTGACAAAGTAGCACAACCCAGCGTAAAATAGGCCAAAACACACGACTACTCGCTGCAAACGGATAAGAACTAAGGGTGCAAACATGTGCAAATACATCGAAACCATGGTTGGGACACTTGAGGAAAATATTGGGGTATCTCTCCCAAGCATCCGGAATGGTCTCATCTTCATCCTGAGCAAAGTGGGTGATTAGCTTCTGCAGGTCCGCCGTCTTGGACGGAGGATGGTGGCGGGTGAGGAACTTGTCCGCCAGGTTGGCGAACATGGTGATCGAGCCTGGAGTTTAATTGTCCAGCCACTCCTTGGCTTGCCCCTCCAAAGTAAACGGGAAGTACCTCACCTGGTTTGCATCGGCTGGAACCCCATTGATCTTGCATCAGCTATAGCATGCACACCCCGCCCTGGTGCTCGTCTTGATCGCCTCGCAGTTCCCCAATCATAGCCCTGCTCTGCCATCTCTTCAAAAAGTTGATTCAACTGTGGCAGTGTCTTG